TCCACCCCAGTAAGATAAGCAGTGCCATCTAGTGGAGAACAGAGCCATTACACTAAGCCCCACCTAACTGGGCCAACCTCACTCTTCAGGAGCACAAGTCTCTTCACCTGCTTAGTTTATGGACTATAAAAGAGATTCATAGTTTGACTTCTAGGGGAAAACGAAGTAATTTTAATCGTATTTCAGTCTGTTTGCTAGTCCATCTATTCAATTTCTTTCTTTTTTTGTTTCTTTTTTCTATTTTCTCTTTTTCGTTTCTTTTCTTTTCCTTGAATAAAGAGAAAAAAATCATTTTTATTTTCAATTTTTTAATGTTTTCTTTAATATTTTCTACAATATTTTTCACTTTTGTGTAAATTTTTTCAAATTCTATTTTAATTACATAATTTCACTTTAGTCTACATCAGTGTATTCATTTTTTCAAATTGTCAACTAATTTCCTTCTTTTTCGTTCACCTTTTTTCACTAATCTGTCAAGCCCCTTTCAACACCCAGACCAAAACACACCTAGAATCTAGCATCATTTATTCAATTTTGTGTGTGTTTGTTTGTAATTTTTTTAATTTTAATATTTTTTCATTTTATTTTTTTAAAATTTTGTTACCCCATTATTTCCTTTTCTCCCTTCAAAATGACAAAAAAAGGAATTCACCCTAAAATAAAGAACAGAAAGAAACGACAGTCAGGGACTCAACAAACAAACACAGATACAAGCAAGTTGTCTGAACCAGAATTTAGAATCACGATAATAAGAATGCTAGCTGGAGTCAAAATAGATTAAAATCCCTTTCTGCAGACATAAAAGAAGTAAAAGCTAGTCAGGATGACATAAAAATGCTGTAACTGAGCTGCAATATAGAATGGATGCCACAGCAGCAAGGATAGATGAGGCAGAACAGATAATCAGTGATATAGAGGACAAACTTATGGAGAATAATGCAGAAAAAAAGAGGGTGATTAAGGCAAAATAGCACAATTTAAGAATTAGAGAAATCAGTGACTCATTAAAAAGGAACAACATCAGAACCATAGGTGTCCCAGAAAAGGTAGAGAGAAGTGGGGATAGAAGGGTTACAGGAGCAAATCATACCAGAAAACTTTCCTAACCTGGGTAAAGACACAGACACCATATCCAGGAAGCACAGAGGACTCCCATTATATTCAACAAAAACCGACCATCAACAAGGCATATCATACTCATATTCACAAAATACTCAGGCAAGGAGAGAATCTTGGAAGAAGCAAGGGAAAAAAAGTCCTTAACCTACAAAGGAAGACAGATTAGGTTTGCAGCAGGCATATCCACAGAAACTTGGCAGGCCAGAAAGGAGTGGCAGGATACATTCAAGTGGAAAAATATGCAGCCAAGAATTCTGTATCCAACAAGGCTGTCATTCAAAATAGAAGGAGAGATTAAAAGTTTCCCAGACAAACAAAAATTAAAGGAGTGTGTGACCACTAAACCAGCCCTGCAAGAAATTTTAAGGGGGACTCTCTGACAGGAGAAAAGATGAAAAAATACATACATACATACATACATACATACATACATACATACACACATACATAAATACCAAAGCAACAAAACTTAGAAAGGACCAGAGAACACCACCAGAAACTTCAACTGTACAAGCAACATAATGGCAATAAATTTGTATCTTTCAGTACTCACTCTAAACATCAATAGACTCAATGCTCCAATCAAAAGACATAGGGTAACAGAATGGATAAGAAAACAAGATCCATCTATATGCTATTTACAAGATACCCACTTTAGACCTAAAGACACCTTCAGATTGAAAGTACAGGGATGGAGAACCATCTATCATGCTAATGGTAAACAAAAGAAAGCCAGAGTAGCCATATTTACATCACAAAGTCTAGACTTTAAAATAAAGACTGTATCACAAGATGCAGAAGGGCATTATATCATAATTAAGTGGTCTATCCACCAAGAAGACCTAACAATTTGTAAACACTTAAGCGCCAAATGTGAAAGCACCCAAATGTATAAATCAATTAATCACAACATAAAGAATCTCATTGATAATAATACTATAGTAGTAGGGAACTTCAAACACCCCACTCACAACAATGGACAGATCATCTAGTCAAAAAATCAACAAGGAAACAATGGCTTTGAATGACACACTGGACCAGATGAACTTAACAGATATATTCAGAATATTTCATCCCAAAGCACCAGAATATACATTCTTCTCCAGTGCACATGGAACATTCTCCAGAACAGACCAAATACCGGGACACAAATCAGCGCTCAACAAATACAAAAAGATTGAGATCATACCATGCATATTTTCAGACTACAAGGCTATGAAACTCAAAACCAACCACAAGAAAAAATTTGAAACAGTAACAAATACTTAGAGATGAAACAACATCCCACTAAACAATGAATGGGCGGGGGCGCCTGGGTGGCGCAGCCGGTTAGGCATCCGACTTCGGCCAGGTCACGATCTCACGGTCCGCGAGTTCGAGCCCCGCGTCGGACTCTGGGCGGATGGCTCGGAGCCTGGATCCTGTTTCCGATTCTGTGTCTCCCTCTCTCTCTGCCCCTCCCCCGTTCATGCTCTGTCTCTCTCTGTCCCAAAAATAAATAAACGTTGAAAAAAAATTTTTAAAAAAATGTTGGTTTAAAGAATGAATGGGCTAACCAAGAAGTTAAAGAGGAAATTAAAAAGTTCATGGAAGCCAATGAAAATGATAACACCACAACCCAAAACCTCTGGGACACAGCAAAGGCGGTCATAAGAGGAAAGTATATAGTAATCCAGGCCTTCCTAAAGAAGGAAGGAAGATCTCAGATACACAACGTAACCTTACGCCTTAAAGAGCTGGAAAAAGAACAGCAAATAAAACACAAAACCAGCAGAAGACAGGAAATAATAAAGATTAGAGCAGAAATTAATGCTATCGAAACAAAACAAACAGTAGAACAGATCAATGAAACCAGAAGCTGGTTCTTTGAAAGAATAACAAAATTGACAAACCACTAGCCAGTTTGATCAAAAAGAAAAAGGAAAGGACCTAAACAAATAAAATCAAGAATGAAAGAGGAGAGATCACAACCAACACAGAAGAAATAAAAACAACAATAAGAGAACATTATAAGCAATTATATGCCAATAAAATGGGCAATCTGGGAAAAAATGGACAAATTCCAGAAACATATACACTACCAAAACTGAAACCAAGGAAGAAATAGAAAATTTGAACAGACCCATAACCAGTAAAGAAATTGAATTAGTAATCAAAAATCTGCCAAAAAACAAGAGTCCAGAGCCAGATGGCTTTCCAGGGGAATTCTAACAAACATTTAAGGAAGAGTTAACACCTATTCTCGTGAAGCTGTTCCAAAAAGTAGAAATGGAAGGAAAACTTCCAAACTCTTTCTATGAAGCCAGCATTACCCCGATTCTAAAACCAGACAGAGACCCGACTAAATAGGAGAATTATAGACCAATTTCCCCAATGAATATGCATGCAAAAATCCTCTACAACATATTAGCCAACCGGATCCAACAATACCTTAAAAAAATTATTCACCACGACCAAGTGGGATTTATACCTGGGATGCAGGGCTGGTTCAATATCCACAAAACAATTAAGGTGATTCATCACATCAATAAAAGAAAGGACAAGAGCCATATGATCCTCTCAATAGATGCAGAAAAAGTATTTGACAAAATACACCATCCTTTCTTGATTAAAAACCCTCAAGAAAGTAGGGATAGAAGGATCGTACCTCAAGATCATAAAAGCCACATAAAAACGACCCAACGCTAATATCATCCTCAGTGGGGAAAAACTGAGAGTTTCCCCCCTAAGGTCAGGAACAAGACAGGGATGTCCACTCTCGCCACTGTTATTCAACATAGTACTGGAAGCCTTAGCTTCTGCAATTAGACAACACAAAGAAATAAAAGGCATCCAAATCGGCCAGGAGGAGGTCAAACTTTCACTCTTCGCAGATGACATGATACTCTATATGGAAAACCCAAAAGATTCCACCAAAAAACTGCTAGAACTGATTCATGAATTCATCAAAGTTGCAGGATACAAAATCAATGCACAGAAATCGGTTGCATTCCTATTCACCGACAATGAAACAACAGAAAGAGAAATCAAGGAATCGATGCCATTTACAATTGCACCAAAACCCATAAAATACCTAGGAATAAATCTAACCAAAGAGGTGAAAAATCTATACATTGAAAACTATAGAAAGCTTATGAAAGAAATTGAAGAAGATGCAAAAAAAAAAAAAATGGAAAAATGGAAAATGCTCCTGGATAGGAAGAACAACTATTGTCAAAATGTCCATACTTCCCAAAGAAATCTACATATTCAATGCAATCTCTATCAATATGACACCAGCATTCTTCACAGATTATTTGTTCTAACAAATAATCCTAAAATTTGTATGGAACCAGAAAAGACCCAGAATAGCCAAAGCAATCTTGAAAAAGAAAACCAAAGCAGGAGGCATCACAATCCCGGACTTCAAGCTATACTACAAAGCTGTAATCATCAAGACAGTATGGCACTGGCACAAGAACAGACACTCAGATCAATGGAACAGAATAGAGAATCCAGAAATGGACGCACAAATGTATGACCAACTAATCTTTGAAAAAGAAGGAAAGAATATCCAATGGAATAAAAACAGTCTCTTCAGCAGGTGGTGCTGGGAAAACTGGACAGCGACATGCAGAAGAATGAACCTGGACCACTTTCTTACACCAGACACAAAAATAAACTCAAAATGGATGAAAGACCTCAATGTAAGACAGGAAGCCATCCAAATCCTCGAGAAGAAAGCAGGCAGAAACCTCTTTGATCTTGGCCACAGCAACTTCTTACTCAACACGTCTCTGGAGGCAAGGAAAACAAAAGCAAAAATGAACTACTGGGACCTCATCAAAATAAAGATCTTCTGCACAGCGAAGGAAACAATCAGCAAAACTACAAAGCAACTGACAGAATGGGAGAAGATGTTTGCAAACGACATATCAGATAAAGGGTTAGTATCCAAAATCTATAAAGAACCTATCAAACTCAACACCCAAAAACCAGAGAACCCAGTGAAGAATCAGCAAAATACATGAATAGACACTTCTCCAAAGAAGACATCCAGATGGCTAACCGACACATGAAAAGATGCTCTACATCACTCATCATCAGGGAAATACAAATCAAAACCACAATGACATACCGCCTTACACGTGTCAGAACGGCTAACATTAACAACTCAGGCAACAACAGATGTTGGCGAGGATGCGGAGAAGAGGATCTCCTTTGCATTGTTGGTGGGAATGCAACAGTGGTGCAGCCACTCTGGAAAACAGTATGGAGTTTCCTCAAAAAATTAAAAATAGAACTACCCTACGACCCAGCAATTCCACTACTATGTATTTATCCAAGGGATACAGGTATGCTGTTTTGAAGGGACACATGCACCCCAATGTTTATAGCAGCACTATCAGCAACAGCCAAAGTATGGGAAGAGCCTAAAATGTCCATCGATGGATGAGTGGATAAAGAAGATGTGGTATATATATACAATGGAGTATTACTCGGCAATCATCCATTTGCAACTTCGTGGATGGAACTAGAGGGTATTTTGCTAAGCGAAATTAGCCAGAGAAAGACAAATATCATATGACTCCACTCATATGAGGACTTTAAGACACAGAACAGATGAACATAAATCAAGGGAAGCAAAAATAATATTAAAAAAGGAGGGGGACAAAACATTAGAGACTCTTAAATATAGAGGACAGAGGGTTACTGGAGGGGTTGTGGGAGGGGAGATGGGCTAAATGGATAAGGGGCATTAAGGAATCTACTCCTGAAATCATTGTTCACTACATGCTAACTAATCCAGATGTAAATTAAAAAACTAAAATTTAAAAAAATTTCTAAAAGACAGATTGGGAGAACTTCCGAGTTGGTAAATGCATCAAGATACTGGGAAATTGGTGCATGTGGAGAAAGCATGGAAACACTATGCCACCCCTAACCCCACATCTGGCTTCATCCATATCTTCCACTCGGCCTTTCCTGAGTCGCATCCTTTACAGTAAACCAGTAAGCATAAGTAAAGTCTGTTCCTAAGTTCTAGGAGTCATTCTCACAAATTATCAAGCCTAAGGAGGGGGTCATGAGAACCCACAATTAATAGCCAATCAGATAGAAGTGCAGGATACCTAGTACTTAAAATTGGCATCTAAAGTGGGGACAGTTTTGTGGAACTGAGCCCTTAACTTGTGGGATCTAACACTAACTCCAGGTAGATAGTATCATAATTGAATTGAGTTGTTAGACGCCCAGTTGGTGTTTGCAGAGAATCAGAGAATTGATTGGTGTCAGAAAGAAAAAAATCTTTCATTTGGTGTCGGCAGTGTTATGAGTAAAATAGTGCACTTAATACCATTTCAAATTAAATTGTTATAGGGGTTCCTGGGTGGCTCAGTTTGTTAAGTGTCCAATTCCTGATTTTGGATCAGGTCATTATCTCACAGTTTGTGGGTTTGAACTCTACATCAGGCTCTGTGCTGGCAGTGTGGAACCTGATGGGGATATTCTCTCTCCCTCTCTCTGCCCCACCCTCACTTGCACTCTCTCTTTCAAAAAATAAATACAATTTTAAAAATTAGAATGTTATAACTCGAGGATGTTAGGCGTAATTCTGATGTAACCACAAAGAAAATATCTACAAAAAAAATGGAAATGAAAAGGAAATCAAAATGTATCACCATATAAAAATCAATTAAACACAGAAAAAGCAGTAATGGAGAAAATAAGGGACAAAAATATTACATAAGATATACAGAAAACAAGTAACAAATTGGCAGATATATTTCCTTATCTGTAAAAAAGGCAGAGTCTGACAGAATAAATTAAAAAGCAAGAACCAACTATATGCTATATACAAGCGACTCACTTTAGATCTAAACACACAAGTATGTTGAAAATAAAAAGGTAGAAAATAATATTCCATGAAAACAGTAACCAAAAGAGAACTAGGATGGCTATATTAATATCAGACAAAATAAGGGGAGAGGAGTTAAGATGGTGGAGTAGTAGGGGAACTTTATGATTGCCTTGTCCTTAAAACACAGTTATATTAATATCAAATCCTTCTGAACACCAAAGAAATCAATCAGAGAACTGAAAGAACAAACCACACAGCTATAAGGAGAAAATAGGCCACAGCATGGAAGGTAGGAGCTGCAGAGATGTGATTTGGAGGAAAAAAGAATCACAGGTGCTGTGAAGTGGAAGAAGCCCTGATCAGAGAGAAAGAGAGAGAATAAAAAGAAGGAGGAGGAAGAGGAGGAGGACGACGATGACGATGACGACTATGAGAGGAGGAGGAGAAGGAAGAGAGAAAGAGAGAGAGAGAAGGAGGGAGAGAGAGAGAAAGCAGCATGCAGAAAATTGCATTCCCCAAAACCATTAACTAAGAAAATGAGAGGGGCTGATTATTGCAAGTTTTTACAAAGAGTGGAGCTCAAAGTCTGAAGCTTAAAAAGTGTGCACCATCACAGGGGTCCATCCTGGCAGGTGTAGTGGTGGAGAAGGAAACAGAGGCCCATGAGTGGACAGTGTACTTGTGGGATTCCCTGTGATATGCTGGGAGATACAGTTCCCCTTCTTGGGAGTGCATTTGGGAGAGGTAGCACTACCTCTCAGGGGACAAAAGAGCCTAGAGTAACCACTGAGCACCCCCATTCATTACTATAGTAGCAGAGGAACCTGTTAAGGACAGATAACCCAGACACAGGTTTTTTGCTGTGCTTTACCATAAACTACAAGCCACTGTGCAGTCGTATGGCTGCTTTCTGGGACAAACTGACAGCATCCAGAGCATGGCGAGACCCTTTCCCAGAAGACCAGTGCAGGTCTATGTTTAGCCTGGTCCCTAAAACTTGGAGTTTTAAAACCCAGCTGTACACCTAAGGTAAAACACAGGACTACTGCACTGTCAGGCAGGCACATGGCACAGACACAGACTGGGTGATGGCAGGGACCTGACAGAAGCCTGGGACATGAGAGGGAAGATTGCTCATCTGGAGGGCTTCCTGAACAGCAGGAGGGTGGGGGGCGAACATCCCCCTCCTGGGAAGAGAGTGGCCCAATGCTATTTTTTACCCCACCCATTACCAAGGACAGACTTCAGCAAGTAGCGAAGGACCCACAGTTTAGGTTTGAGTCACTTACAACAAGCCCTGCCCTCATGTGTTCTGCAGGTATATCTTTATTAGTGCAAGTGTACCTGAGGGCCAGAGAAGCAGCAGGTCCCTTCTCCAGAAGACCAACACAAACCACACACACACACACACACACACACACACACAAACATACACACACACACACACACACACACACACACACACACACCAGGTCTACTGATTATAGAGTGCTGCAAAGCTTCAGTTATAATGAAAATCGGATCAGGCTTATTTTAACAAGCAGACCAAAGCACACCTAGTTAAAACTCACCACATTCTGGACAAAGTCCAAACACTCCCCACTATAGGTAAGGAGAAACTCTGCAAGGGACTGACCTGAGGAAAGAGCAGCCAAAACACAATGATATAATGAACATATCATACACCAGAAACACTTTGCATAGCTCCAAGCTCTGGACGGTATAAGACCTCTTTTTAATATAGCCATTACTCTCAGGAGGAGGAAATATAACAGACTTGCCTAACACAAACACAAAAAATAGAGTGACCTGGACAAAATGACAACAAGACGAATTCATCCCAAAAGAGAGAACAAAAAGAGGTCATGGCCAGGGATCTAATCAAAGCAGATATAAGTAATATGCCTTAACCAGAATTTAAAAACAACAATGATAAGGATACTAACTGGGCTGAGAAAAGCATAGAAGACACTAGAGAGTCACCTACTTTAAAGATAAAAGAATTAAAACCTAGTCAGTCTGCAATTTAAAAATGCTATAATGGAGATGCAAAACTGTGTGCAATGACAAGGATGGATAAAGCAGAGGAACAAATCAGTGATAGAGAGGATAAAATTATGGGAATGAATGAAGCTGAAAAGAAGAGGGAAAGAAAAATATTGGATCACAAATGTAGACTTAAGGAAATCAAAGACTCATGAAGCATAATAACTTTCATATATAAAAGTCCCAGGAGAAGAGAAGCAAAACGGGGAAGAATGTTTGTTTGAGCAAATTATAACTAAAACCTTCCCTAATCTGGGGAAATCCAGGAGGTACAGAGAACTCCAATCAAAATCAACAAAAGCAGGCTAGCACCAAGACGTATTGTAGTAAAATTTGCAAATTACACAGATAAGAATCCTGAGAGCAGCAAGGGAAAATAAATACTTAATCTACAAGGAAGGATAAATCAGGTTATCAGCAGATCTGTCCACAGAAACCTGGCAGGCCAGAAGGGAGTGGCAGGATATACCACAAAGCAACAAAGACTAGAAAGGAAGAGAGAAAATCTCCAGAAACAATGACTTTATAGGTAATATGATGGCACTAAATTCATATCTTTCTAAGTGTAAATGGACTAATCATTCTAAGTGTAATGGACTTAGAATGTAAATGGACTAATCATTCTAAGTGTAAATGGACTAAATGCCCCAATCAAAAGACATAGGGTATCAGAATGGATTTAAAAAAAAAAAAAAGACACATATATATGCTGCCTACAAGAGACTCATTTTAGGCCTAAAGACACTGGCAGATTGAAAGTGAGGGGTTGGACAACCATCTCTCATGCTAATGGACATCAAAAGAAAGTTGGAGTACCCATATTTATATCAGACAAACTAGATTTTAAACCAAAGACTGTAACAAGAGATGAAGAAGGGCACTATATCATAATTAAGGGCTCTATCCATCAAGAAGATCTAACAATTGTAAATGTTTATGCCCCCAACTGGAAGCACCCAAATATATAAACCAATTAATCACAAACATACAGAAACTCATTGATAACAATAATATTGGGAGACTTTAATACCTCACTTATAGCAATTGACAGATTATTTAAGCAGAA